AAATGGTAAGAGAGCATTGAAAAATAGATGAGTTTATCAGATTAAGCAAGGTGAGTGTACTTCTCAAAGAAGATACAAGGCTCACTTTGTGGTAAAAGGTTTTAAACAATGGGAAGGTGTTGAATTTGGCGAGATTTTTGCTCCGGTTGTGAAGATAAAATCTATTTGAGTGGTTCTTGGGCTAGCCACTAGTCTTTATTTGGAAGTAGAGCAAATGGATGTGAAGACGACTTTCCTTCACGATGATTTACATGAAGAAAACATGGAACAACCAGATGGATTTCAAAAGAAGGGCAAATAAGACTATGTTTTTAAATTTGTAAAGAGCCTTTATGGTTTGAAACAAGCACCTTGCTAATGGTATCAAAATTTCAACTCAGTGATGATTGAACATAGGTAGAAGATGACCAAGGTCGACCATTGTGTGTTTTTTTTTCAAAACTTCTCTAAAGGTGATTTCATTATTCTCTTGATTTTGGTGGATGATATGCTAATTGTTGGAAAGGATATTTCAAGAATTAAATAGTTAAAGAACATTTTGAGTGAATCTTTTGCTATGAAGGATTTAGGAGAGGCTTGAAAAATTCTTGGTATTGAAATTGTTCGAGATTGAAATGAGAAGAAGTTGTACTTGTCACAAGAAATGTATGTGGAGAAACTCCTTCGACATTTTAGTATGGATAAGGCTAAGGTGGTGAGCATTCCACTTGCTTCTCATTTCAAGCTTAGTCATAAACTATATCCATCTATGGATGAAGAAAATTTGAGTATGAAGAACATTTTGTAATCCTCGGTCGTTGGTAGTTTGATGTATGTTATGGTTTGTATAAGATCCGATATTGCTCATACCATGGGAATGGTGAGTTGCTATCTCTCCAATATGGGAAAATATCATTAGAAGGCCATGAAATGGGTGATGAGATATTTGCGTGGCTCGTAAAATTTGAAGCTAACCTTAAGATGTAAGAAGCTTATGTTGGTTGGGTATATGAATTCAGATATAGTCAGAAGCTTAAATGATCGAAAATCTACTTCGGGGTATATGGTGACTTTTTCGGGGGAGTCGTGGCTTGGAAATTAAAGTTGCAAAAGTGTGTTACACTCTCTACTACCAAAGATGATTTTATAGCCGACGTGGAAGCGTCAAAAGAGTTTTTATGGTTGAGGAAATTTGTAATGGAACTTGGTGTGAAACAAGAAAAGTATGCCCTGTTTTGTGATAATCAAAGTGCCATTCACTTATCTAAGAATTTATCCTTTCACTCAAGGTCGAAGCATATAGATGTTCAGTATTATTTGATTCATGATGCATTAGATTCCAAGTTGATGGAGCTTGAGAAGATTCACACTGATGACAATGGTTTAGATATGTTGACGAAGGCGTTGCCTAGAAGAAAGTTTGAGTTTGGTTACACAGTAGCCCGATTGGTGTTGCCCTCTAACTAGTCGACAAAGGGTTATTCCTCTTATTTGGAGTGGCCCAAATGAATGTAGGTTAGTATCTCAGGTGTGTTTAGTACTTTGTTATTATCCAATAAAAAGAATTAGGTCAAAATTTCATAATGTGAGAAACAACAAAAGAAAAAAAAGAGAGAAGAGTGAAATTCCAGTTGGCCCATTTCAACACAGATCAATCCCACGAGATCAGAGTTTTCTCACAATCCAATCGTTGGATCGTCTTGATTTTTTGTAACATTGTTCAAAATTTACAGAGGTACATTTTTAACGGTGGAAAGCGACTTGTGAGTTTTCTAGACATGTCTACCGAGTGGTTTTCTAAGATGCAGTTTTTGTTGTTGCTTTTGTTAATTGTATATCTTGTTTCTTGTTATATTCCGAGATAAATTGTAAGTCTGGATTATATTAATGTATTCCTCTAACTAGTGTTAGAGACAACCTTGCTTGTATCAATTGTTTGATTATAGTGGAGATTTAAGTGGCATACGAGTCCCGTGCTTTTTTTACTCCTAATTAACGAAGATTTTTCCACGCTAAAATTGTGTTGTGTTGTTTAGTGTGTTTTGTTGATTATTGTTGCATTTGATATTTGAGAGAGGTTGTGTTGTTGGATTATTCCGTTGCATTGTGGATTTCCTCCCAACATAAATAAAAGTCCATTCCCTCATTTTATTTCATCTAGAATCATGTTTTGACACTTTTTACTCTCTCTCTCTCTCTCTAAAAAGTTTCTTTTACTTTCTCTCACTAATATTTTAGCTAAAGTGCTTATTCGAGAAAGTTCTTTTGTGAGTGAGGATATTTTGTAATTCTGGAAGGGTAGAATTGTGAAATTCACCAAGTGAATCTTTTGTGTACACTTTAGTTGAACATTATCCATTTAGGGATTATTTACTTGAATTAGAAGTTAAACCCGTAAAAGATTTTTCTTTGGTGATTGTGTGATCAAACCCCTGTTTATGTTCAAGCTCAGCCCGTGATTAAATGCTTGATAGGTTCAAGATTAACACGTGGCAAAATCAAGGTTAAGTTAAAGGTTAGCATGTGATAAAAGCTTGGACAAGGTTCGAGAATATACTGGTATTAAAATCTCCCAAGTTGTTGGTTAGCCTGTATAAAATCAAGGTTTAAACGCTCATGAGCTCCTTCCGTGGTAAAAACTTACAAAGTTTGTTGTGAAGTTTTAAAACTAATCGCTCCATGATTCTCATGGAAAAAAGACTAACCGCTTCTATCTACAGTTTGTGGAAAGAGGGTTAACCGCTTCAATCCATCGTTTAGAAGAGCAGACTCAATTGTTAAATTCCAAGTCTTACTATTTAGGTTGGAAATTTTTCTTATATAAAGGGGTTCGTGAGTTTTACCTACTAAAGCTCTCAAAGTTTATTGAATACTTTCAAGATCAATTCTTAGGGAGAAGATTATGCTGTTTTCTTGTTTGACTGAACCTCTATAACTCTTAGCGTTCCTCTCTTTCCCTAAACTCTTTATTTTCCGTAATTTATATTTTTAATTTATTTTCTACTGCTTAATACTTAAACAACTTTTAAAAATGTTTTTAAACTCTGATTTTGATCCGCAAAGTTTTCCAAAACCATATTTTTCGGGACCGCACAATTCACTCCCTCTTGTGTGGGAAGTCACATATTCAAAAATGATAACAATTACTTTATTCCTAATTTCAATCTCTTTAATCTAACTTTTACTTATTCTCGTGTTTCAAATCTTTATGTAGTTAAGAATATTGTATCAGAGATACTTACACATATTTAATTTTTATTGCATATCTATAAACAAATTTCTATATTTGCAACATAAAAAAATTCAAACAAAATAAAAAACTCTTGAATAACTTAGCGTAGTCGGTTCACTTAATGAAACTCGATCCGGATAACATCGTATCAAGTTATCAAGTGCTGAAGCTAAACAAAATATGTATCAGAAAACACACAAGTTTTTCAAAAAAGAAAAACAAATAGAAAAACATTATTTCAAGTAAGTCAATGAAAACAAAATACATATCGGATGTCTTATCTTAGAGTTATCTAGGGGTGGCAAAATGGATGGATTGGATGGATATGGATTGGATTGTTAATGGATGGATTAAAACAATTCATTATTCCATTAACAATCCACTAAAATTTTCTTAAAATTATCCAATCCAATCCATCCATTAAGAATAAAATCCATCCAATCCATCCATTAACACATTTTTAATGGATGGATATCCATCCATCCAACTTTTTTTTTATTTTGTAAAAATAAATATATATTTTATTTTTAAAAATTTTATTTTATTTTATTTTTGAAAATTTTATTTTTTGTATTAAAAAAACTGAATTTTAATAAATATATTTTGAAACTGAATTTTTTTTATTTTTTAATAAATATATTTATTAAAAAACTGAATTTTTTGTATTTTCAAAAAAAAATCGGTTTTTTTTTCGAAAAACAAATCAGTTTTTTATTCTGAAAAAAAACCGGTTTTTTTTCCAAAAAAAGAAGTCGGTTTTTTTTTCGAGAAATTTTTTTTATTTTTTTTCGGAAAACAAGTCAGTTTTTTATTCTAAAAAAAAACCGATTTTTTTCGGAAATAAAAATAGATTTGTTTTCCAAAAAGAAAAGTCGTTTTTTTTTCGAGAAAAAATTTTATTTTATTTTTCGAAAAACAAATCAGTTTTTTATTCTGAAAAAAAAATGATTTTTTTTTCCAAAAAAAAAGTCGGTTTTTTTTTCGAGAATTTTTTTTTTTAAAAACAAATCAGTTTTTTATTCTGAAAAAAAAACCGATTTTTTTCGGAAAAAAAATATCAATTTTTTTTCCAAAAAAAAGTCGGTTTTTTTTCGAGAAAAATTTTTATTTTATTTTTAGAAAAACAAATCAGTTTTTTATTCTGAAAAAAAAACTGATTTTTTTTTGAAAAAAGTTAAACTTTTTTTTTTCAGAAAAAAATTCATTTTTTTGAAAAAAAATATAATTTTTTAATTATTTTTAAATAAATCTATTTTTAAAAAAATAAATCTAACGAAAATAAAAATAATCCATTGGATCCTTAAAATATGTTGGATGGATTGAATCCATCCATGCATATAAATGGATGGATTTAATCCAATCCACTAACTTATTTTTTGTCTGCTGGATGAATTTTGCCTTAATGAATTCAATTGCCACCTCTAGAGTTATCAGGTAAGCAAATGTAAGAGTGCATAAATCTTAAATAAATGATAAAGAACAAAATGTAGGGTGTGGATAAATGTATAGGTATGGAGTAAAATTTTAAAGTTTGAAGTATCCCGTTAAAGAAAAGCCCAGCCCAAACGTTTAAAAGCTGTAGAAGGATATTTCCGTAATTGCGCATCCAAGTTGAAACCTTCGTGAAGCGTGCGAAAATGGCGCCACCACCACCGATTCATGTCGAAAACGTCGAATTCCCTTCATCTTCATCCCACAAAGTTCACTTCATCTTCGTCCCAATTTCAAATTCCATTTGCATTTCAATTTCTCGAAATCTCGAAACTCGAAAAATCCTAAATCGACAACAATGTGGAAGTGGTTTCGGAAAGAGGCGGAAGTACCACCGCCGGTGGTTCTAGTTCCACCGCTCTTCGATTTCCCTCCCCTCGCCGCTCGTGACAGAATGCTCGAATCATCCTACGACGTCGTTTTCGGGAAGCTCGCGTTGAGGTGTCTCTTCAACGATTACTTTCAGCAACCGAAGCATTTCATCACTAGAATCATGCTTAAGCCAATCGACGATCCTCACGTCGATCTCATCGCTACAGTATCCTCATTCATTCCTATTTTATTACTGAACCTGATTCACAAAAATTAATCAATAATAGTGTGTATTTTTTGATTTTTCTTAAAAATTTTGTTTAGGTTTCAGGTCCTCTTGATCAAAAGCCTGAAGAAAACATCAATGGAAATGCTTCGTTTCGCTGGCAAAGGTGTTCTATACTCTTCTTTTATTTAATTATCATTAGTTTTTGGTTGTAATATCTCATTTTCATCCTCAAAGTTGAATCCATGCTTTATTATATTAGTGGCTGGACAAAAGAAACACATAAAACTTGAATCATTCATAGGTTGAGGACTAGAAAGTAATGTTTAATAGCAATGCACTTACAGCACATTTCCCATTTTCTCTAAAAATAAATAGATGGCATATAAGGAGGACTAGAAAGTAAATTTTTTTAATAACGCGCTGATTCCGTAAGAAATAGTATTACCAAATTTAGTGTCTGTTCGTTAGGGCAACCGCCTTAATTAAGCACTTGATAAACACTAATAACTATGTATTAATCACTAGAAACTCACACACACAACCGCAAGTTATCTTTAAAAGTATATCCAAGAAATAATACTACTATAAATATTTATGTCATGAGATATGTCTAATTAAGCTCTTCCAATCGCTCCCTTGTTCCTGTTTATCTAATGTGGGGATTTATATGATAATGAAGGATACCAATGTTGAGTATGAAAACAAGACTTTATGCTTTTTGTTTAGTGAATGCTGAGATTTTATTTTAACTTGGTGGATATCTAATGTGCAGTGACGTAAATGATCCTCATACATTCGTAGACCTTTATGTATCAACATCTGATCCGTAAGAAGCTCTGACTTATGATACTGCTTTTGATATTTGCTTACATCATCAGTTTGAATTGAAGTGGTATGAATATTGTGTGTGGTTTATTTGTTTAGGGTTTTGCGGATGAGGTCGTGTGCTTACTATCCCAGATATGGATTTGGGGCCTTTGGAGTGTTCCCTTTGCTATTGAAGAAAAGGTGTGTTTTGTTTGATGATGGTGGAAGAAGTGTGTATTAAGTTCTTGTAGTTTTGCACTTCATCACAAATAGCAACATACAATTTTGACAAAGTTCGCCAATTATACAGAGAAACGTCCCAAGATTATGGCCTAATGGGATTGAGATACGGTTCGGGAAATCTATCATGTGGAGTCACACTTATGCCTTTTGCCAGTAAGTTACCTGGTTTTATGCTACTAACTGGCTGTGTTGAGCAGATTTAGGATGCAATCCATAAGCATTGAGAAAAGCTCTTATATGATTTTACTTTTTCTAGATCCCCACAAAGCCACACTTTCATAATTCCCAGAATAGCATTGAAACTGCCTATTTTAGATTTGAGATTTCATTTTCTTTACAAAAAAAATTGTGTAATTATTATAACATTTTAAAACATATTATTCACTAAAGTGTTTTTTTTTCCCTTTCAAAGCACAGAGAATCTGGTCCTTATTTACACATGATATTTACACGCAAGCTACCCTTCTGGTTCATGATTGCTTAAGTGTTTACTTATTTATTGTTTGAGGTATTAGGCGTTATAGCCAATGGCGGATCCAGAACCTTGGCTCAGAGGTGCAAAAAAACAAATTCAGGGTCTCTTGGGCTAGTAGTGCAAAAAAAAAAATTTCAGGGGTTCAAAATACAAAATATATAGGGGTGTATGTGCATTTTAAATTTTTTTTCTGAGGGTTCAATTGAATGCCCTCAAAAGGGTTAGATCCTCCCCCTGGTTACAGCAACACTGAATAGGCATTAATGTTAAGTCTCAAATTCTCAATACAAGTTTGGAGTATTACCTTGAGTTCTACATTAAATATCTTTCATTAAAACTGTAAGTAATTTTTCCTGAAAGAATAGAAGATTTGGAGTATTACTTTGTGCTTTGTCTCTGTGTTTAAAGTTTGAGATTATAACTGTTCTTACTAAGATTGCTAATTTTTTCATTGCTGTGATAGATTTTTTGATGTATTGATTTATGATCCACATGCAAAAACAATGCTTATAAACTTTTTAATTGTAATACTTTGCAGTGAAAGACGAAGTACCAAAAAGTGTATGGTTGGTGAGCAAGATAGGAAGGGTAACAGCCGGGGTGCAGTTTGAGCCACACCGTAAGAACTATGCAGATTTTGCTCCTTTACAAATATTTCAACATCTTCAGATTTTTTTTTTTACATCAGTGCTGGGCTTTTTAAATTATTTTTTATGGTTTGGTTTTCAACATGGTGCATATGTTTAACTTATCCGTACTGGTTGCATATTGCACCTTTGATAGATTGAGATGTAAAAGTTTTATATTTCATTAGCCATAAAATGGACACTAATACATCAATGGTTTTTAGTCTCACTTGCTCAGTGTGTGCCCATGCGTCTTCATGTGTGTATTCTAAAAATTGCACATGTGTTTAGGGTCTTCGTGTGTGTATTCTAAAATTGCACATGTGTTTAGGGTTACACTTTGTTAGGCCCACTGATATTAACAGACCCATTAGTAATTAGGGGAGAGGTACAGCCCATATTGGTTATAGGAGAGAAAGAAAACGACCATAGAATACACTATATAGGGAGTGGGGTGGGGATAACCACAAAAAGGTAAGTAGAAATTAACAATTGGTTTGGGGCTGAATAGAGAAGTGGGCTCTTTCTCAGAATTGGCCTTTATCTTTTATTGTTCTTTTATTGATCATCATCTAACAAGGAGCACAACTCTATTCCGTTGCCATTTTCCCTTCTAAGCAGTTTAGTTTAGTCTAATCAATCAACAAATGCTATCTCTTCTTGTTGTAAGTTTAGTTTTTGATTTATGTTTGGGTGCTATTACAAATCAATTATATAATACTTAAAGATAGAATACTTAAAGATAGAGTAATGAACTGAAAAAAAACAATCTACAGAGGCTGAGAGTTTGTCAGCGGGGAAAGGGGATTGAAGAACTTGAACACTAATGCATCATTGTTTTTAAGTAGTTTAAGGAATTTGTACTTAAAGGATGAGCTAAAACAGACACAAAACAAACATATACTAGTACGACTAACACAAGGTTCACTTGTATATATTATAAAACTATCATGTGCATAATACCTTGCGGTGCTGTTTTTTAGATGCAAATGCAAAACTTTCAAATTTGATGAACTGGAGTTGTGCCATGGGTTACGGCGTGGGATCTGGCAGCCCTTTGAGCCCGTCTTTCAATTTCAGTCTTGAGCTTGTCAAAAGCTCTCAGGTAAATCTTCATAATTAAATTGATTAATATTTTACATTTATTCTTTGGAAAAAATGTTGTAGGGTAATATTTTCAACATGTTTTTTCTCTTAAAGTAGGAAGTATTGTAATGTGTGAAACATAGGTTATATTAAAATAAAACATTTCACCAATCATCACAATTTCTTCAAGAATATTGTAACAACCTTTAATAGATATAATGCAATTTAAACTACTAGCTAATTAACTACACATTTGTACTTTTCTTCGCTGGTACGATGTGGTATTCTGATAATATTTTAAGGATTTTACTGAATTGAATTCTAAACAATCTGCAGTTTGTTGCCTCATTTTATCAGCATATGGTTGTTCAAAGACGGGTATGTTTCCTTGGCCCTTGCTCTGTCTTTTCCCATTGTATTTTAAGTATCCTTTGTCTTTCGATTATCTTTTTCACAAACACTGATGTTTAAACATATTTGATTTTAGTTGTCTCTTAAATTTAATTTTTCTTACAGTAAGATAGAGTTCCATCCAGGATTACTTTATGCTTGCCTTCGTTCAATCTTTTTTGGTTTGAGTACTAGTAAACTCTTTGATTTATTGTTGAATCAGAATATTAATATATAATGCTTTAAAACTCAAATATTTGAATTGAAAAGGTGAAGAACCCCCTTGAAGAGAATTCTGTTGTTGGAATTACAAACTACATTGACTTTGGGTTTGAGTTACAAACAAGGTACTCTTTTGCCTTTAAAGATCTTCAAATTTCTGTGAAGTTGTACCAATGTGGTGAAACTAATTTTCTGCGTTGAAGTGTTGATGACGCGATAGCAGCAAACAGTATCTCAGACTCCACTTTTCAAATAGGTGCATCCTGGCAAGCCAATAAGAACTTCTTGCTGAAGGTAAAATATTAATGTAATGTTAGGCAGGTTTCGTCATAGATTAATTATAATGGATTTACTCATGATGAATATTTATTGTATTTTCAGGCAAAAGTTGGACCTAAAAGCTCAACAATGGCTGTTGCATTCAAGTCATGGTGGAAACCTTCTTTCACGTTCAACATTTCAGGTGTCTCTAGAGGGATTTTTCTATACAATCTTGCTATGTTTTTTTTTGGTCTTAAACCCTCTGGTTCATAGGGAAAAGGGACTCTGGTAATCTGGAGTTCAGCCTAATTGTAAGTAAAGTCTAGCCAAGAATTGTTCAAGCCAATGACTGAGCTTGGGTTTCCTTGTTTTCTTAAGTGGGATTTTTCCCATCCTTTTGCATCTGTGCTTGTACGGGGAGGCGCTAGGAAGAAGGGTTCCTTGTTTCCCTGTGTTTGTGAAGTTTAAATTATTCCTACACGTCGAACTGTTATACCTATATTCTTTGTGGAATATATGTTTTCTCCCTTGAGCATTTCTGTTTTCTATGCAGAGCGTGTTTTGGGATGGGGTATGTTGTTTTATTCGTGAATATCACCCATGTAATATCATTTTCTAGGTTTATGATGCGTTCCACTGCTACCTCATTCAGCAAGTTCGATGATATAAGATCTAATATCTATGATGTTAAATTGCTCTCAACTTCTCATCCTGTGAAAATTTCAAAAGTTAAATATGATAATTTGAGACATTTCTTCCAAAATTGTGATTCTATAGTCATCTTCTTTCTGGATGTTTGACCTGCTGAGAATGCCCTTTTTTTTTCCAGCCACCAGAGATCGTGCAGACGGTCAATTGCAATATGGATTTGGCCTCCAAAGTGAAAGTCTCAGAGAAGCCAGGTTCATTTCTTTGGAAGCACTTCTTTGTTTTGATTCAATAGATTCTCTGCTAATATATCATGACTCATACACACCCACCCGTGTTCTGCATTAAAAAAAAAAGAGAATTGCTTTCAATTTTATTTACCTTTTTTCTAAGCTCTGCCATGTTAATTAATGAGATATTTGTAAAGTTTGTGTTTCGTACTATTTGTAAATTTGCTTCTTTATTTACACTTGTTTGCAGTTATCAAAGAGCTGATCCCAATTTCGTAATGCTTACGCCAAGCAAAGAACACCTAGCCGAGGGCATTGTTTGGCAAACAGGAAAACGACCTATGCTCCAATCTGACATAGATGCTGGACATTTTGATGGCTTACCCAGAGAATTGAGACCTCTTGACAAAATTTTGTAACTTATAGCTTTGTATTTATGATGATAGATGAAAATGTTTCAGAAGAATGTATGCAGTGTTCAGTTGCACGTTTTGTGTATTGATACGCACGTCTGCAGCAATACCAAGACAAAATTGCCGTAATTTCTAGAAGCTGCAAGAAGGAGCTTTTGCATTAACGTGAAAATTTGCCGTGGTTTTGAGGTGTAGTCTAGTAACTCTAGTTTACAGCATTTGGTCAGTAATTTTTTGCTACTATGAGTATGAACCACATATTTTATTAATGATTCCACTGTTGTAGATTTATTTTATGGAAAGAAGTCTTTGCTCTTGTGCTGGTTTAAATTTACTTTTGGAAAGTTTCAATTACATGGATCTGTCTAACATAAGTTTATAAGAGTTTAATTACAGTTTCATCATAAGATTTTTATCTACAAACTCAACATCTATGTTAAACAAGATATTATGATTAGTTTTTACAGTCATGGTATAAGAATATCTAATTTGTTTTGAAAAGTCAGCACATTTAATATTTTTATTTATCATATAATTTGAACCGTTTGATCAAAGATGAATGGTTGAAATCGCTTACAACCTTGAACTTCTCAAACCTGCCAAAAAAGCCATCCAGGTCGGCAATCAGTTAGAACATGTCACGTTGAAAACGTAATCCAACATTCCAAGAACCACAAAGAACGTTACTCCACTCAAAAAAACAATGGCCATTGCTTCTTCCTCTTCACTCATTTCCACATTCTTCTTCCATTCTTCCTCATTTTCTCGCTCTATAATCACCAAATCCAAATCCCTCCATTTCCATTCACCAACCCATTCTATTTCTCACCCTACCCTTTTCCTCCTACACCCTCCTCCTCCTCCTCCTCAAACCCCATTAACCAAAACACCAATTTCACTTCCAAACCTCTCCATACCTAAAACCTGTTTAGATTCTCTTTTCATTTTCTGCACTTCAATTGCACTCTCTTTCACTCTCTTCATTTCAAATCCGGATTCAGCTTCTGCTTTTGTTGTAACCACACCAAGGAAGTTGCAGACCGATGAACTAGCTACTGTTCGTCTCTTTCAAGAGAATACTCCTTCCGTTGTTTATATAACTAATCTTGCTGTCAAGTAAGTCTTTCTTTTTCTTCTTTTGGTTAAACAAAATTGAAATTCGATTAAAAAGATTGAATTTTGTGATAACCCTTTTGGTTTTCTTCATGTGGGTTATTGTGTTTAGGCGGTGTTTGATTCTTTTGATAGAAAAGATTGAATTTTTAGATGACCCTTTTGTTTTTATTACTGTGTTTTTGGTTCCAAAATTGATTTAGCACAGTTGATTTTGATTATAGGTTGCATGCATAGTTTCACCTTTGGAAGACAAAATTGATTTTGCAAATTGCTTCTAGAATTGATTATACTTGAAGCTAGAAGTTTTAGTTTTTGCTTTTAAACTTGAAATCATTTTACATTAAAACTTAGTTTTAACTAAAATAAGTTTTACAAAATCTATTGAATCAAAATCAATTTTTAGCAAAATTTGGACAGACAATTTTAGCTTGAATCAGTTTACAAAATCAATTTTTTTCACTAGAATTGAATGTATATTTAATGTGGGTGGTTGTGTTTAGGCAGGATGCGTTTACTCTGGATGTGTTGGAGGTTCCTCAAGGATCCGGGTCAGGTTTCGTTTGGGATAAGGATGGTCATATAGTCACCAATTATCATGTTATCAGGGGTGCTTCTGATCTCAGGTTGGTAGGTTTTTGCTTCTTTTGAATCAATTTCCTTGTTGATTTTCTCAAAATTATACCTGTGATGTATTTGGGTAAACAACTTAACTAATTAAGCTCTTATTGAATAAAGGTGTGTTTTGGTAGACAACTTAATTAAACACTTGAAGAACTTATCGAAATAAGCTAAGCACAACTTATAGAAATGTTGTAGAGTATTTTTATAAGCTCTTTCAAACAATTGCAAATGCACTGCTTAGGTCATAAGATAAACTCAAATAAGCTGTTAATACGCTATTACAAACTCACTGTCTCTTTGTGTGTGAATTGAGAATTACTGTTCAATGGCACCAAGTTAGATTTCTACTCAAAAAGTAAAAATACTTCTGTTCAAAGAGACGCTAGTTATGTGCAGGGTCACTCTTGCAGACCAATCAACTTATGATGCAAAAGTTGTTGGTTTTGACCAAGACAAGGACGTTGCCGTGCTTCGTGTTGATGCGCCTAAAGACAAGCTAAGACCTATACCTGTTGGGGTCTCTGCTGACTTGCTTGTTGGTCAGAAAGTGTATGCTATTGGGAACCCGGTAAGATTTTCTCACAGATTGATGCATATTGTATTGTAAATGTGTATTCTTCTACGAGTTTTCCGATCTATAGAGATGATGGAAATCCCGGTTGAAAACTTGTTAACTGTTTTTATAAGTTATCATGTGATTCTTGCAGTTTGGACTTGACCACACTCTTACAACTGGAGTCATCAGGTATGAAAACTGTAAACTATTTTTATGCAACACCGTATTGCACAACATCTTATCTTTCGTCTTTCTTTGTAACGTCAAACCATTTTGTATGGTAAATAATTTTTCATTTTTTGAATGGTGCGTCATAAACATATGCTTTTCTAGTATTCTCATGCTGGATAACTTGAAAGCTGGATACTTTCTGATCTTTTCTACATACGTTCTGTGTCGATTAAATTTCAATAATATACTTGTTTCTCATAATAGTGGACTTCGGCGAGAAATTAGTTCGGCTGCAACTGGTCGTCCTATTCAAGATGTTATACAGACCGATGCAGCAATTAATCCTGGTAACAGTGGAGGGCCACTCCTTGATAGTTCTGGAAGCCTCATTGGGATAAATACAGCTATATACTCTCCATCTGGTGCATCATCCGGTGTTGGATTTTCTATTCCTGTCGATACTGTGAGCCCCGACTCTTGCCTCTCTATAAACATGTTTTAAAAACCCAAACCTGACGGTGCAATCGGTTGAATCGTGAACCAGCACTGTCTATGGTTTGGTTATTTGAGTTACTTGAACTCGGTGTCATCCGGGTTTGAGATGTTTAAAGCAGTTTTAAACCATGACAGGTCTTGCTGGTTCAATGTCTGGTTCGGTTTTTAAGGAGATGACAATTAGTAGAAACATACCATTTTTTTTTATATTCTCTTAAATATAGTTTATGAAATTATGGGCTTATTTTATATATTTAGGTAAATGGCATTGTTGATCAATTGGTGAAGTTTGGGAAAGTTACTAGACCTATATTAGGGATCAAGTTTGCTCCTGACCAATCTGTGGAGCAATTGGGAGTAAGTGGAGTGCTTGTCTTGGATGCTCCTGCCACCGGTCCAGCTGGAAAAGCAGTAAGCTTATTTCTTATATAAGCTCAACTTATCGCTTTTTTTAAGAACTTAATTTTCAAGGGTGATGAATTTGGTTAAATTTTTATTTTGTTGTAGGGCCTACAATCGACAAAGCGCGATGCCTATGGTCGACTCATATTAGGAGACATCATAACATCTGTGAATGGTAAGAAGGTTACTAATGGAAGCGACTTGTACAGAATTCTTGATCAATGTGAAGTTGGCGAGAAGGTATGTATCCTAAGCAAAGTTATACGAACCCGAGATGAAGTTAGTTCACCGTTGGTTAAAAATTAGTTACATATTTTAAATCAATGAAAATAGGAAACAAGTGAAAATAGAAACAAACCTAAATTGAAACTGATTTGTTATGATAGCTTAATACTTGGTGATGTTGAATTTCAGGTGATTGTGGAGGTGTTGCGAGGTGACCACAAAGAAAAGATCCCGGTCGTTCTCGAGCCAAAGGCCGACGAATCATGATGTGCAATTCATTCTGCATCATTAATGTATATATACACATTTCATTTGGCAGGGAGTGCAGCTGTTTGATGTGTATTCTTAGGTTGTTTCCCAACCGTGTACATATGTACTATGAGACTGTACTACTGCTCCAACACAAGTTGAGATTGAACAAAAGAATAGATTCATGATATGCTCATTTTGTTTGTTGTCAACTTTATTTAGATACATATTTTTATGTTCTAGATTAAATATTTAGATTTCATGGCACTACTATCATTGTTCAAGCAGTTTCTACATGTGTGTTGTTGGTGGTTTGGAGAGATACTGGCTTAATTTGCAAATAGAATAAGAAATATCAGACATAGAGTATGTCAAATACAACAACTTACCAATAAGACTTCTAAACTATGTAGAATCCTACATTTTGAAGTATATCCAAACTATATTTACGTTGCCAATGGGCACTTCAATGATGATTGATGATTGTGACCTGTATTTTTAAATATATGGTAAAAAAAATATAGGTCCAAGGGCAAATTAACAAATATATATTTTCTCATTTTTTGGATACCGGGCTGTCAAAAACGTAGAGGAGGTAGGATGGGAAGTTTTCCCTTATTTGTTTGAAACGAGGAGCGCTTCGTGTTCTGTCGGTGCTTGAAACAATTTTGTCTTCTCCAGGGTCAATAATGGTATATTTGCAACTACTGAACTCAATCACTTGCTGCCGTTACTCTTCAGTTTTCTGTTGAAGTCTATTATGTAGAAGTACTCTTTGCTGTTAAGAATGTAGGTTTTAAGTTAAGAATGAGTAATTGCACTTCTCTGATCCTTCACTGTTCAACCTGAGAACGGAGAACTACTGTGTTCTCCGTTTAATGCCTATGGAAGATCCGTAAATCTAAAATCCAAGGAAGTACTTGAGGTGTCTTAAATCTCTGATACTGAATTTTGCATTCAGAACTGATTTAACGTGGTTTATCTCTGAAATATGGTTACCCAGAAGAATCAAATCATATAATTATTAGACGACTTCATTAATAATGAATAGTCTGATGTAGAAATAATTATTAGATGACATCATAAATAATGAGTAATCTGATTTAGAAATAATTATTAGACGATTTCATAATCTGATTTAGATTGAATAAAACCTAAGTCAAAGTTATGA